TACTGGGTCAATACCGCTTTCACATTCAGGGGCAGCAGTGGACAGGCTCAGAGCCTTCTCCGATACTAGTCATTTGTGCTTAAACCTTTGGGGTGTGGAAGCTGCCTGGTAGTTGCATTTTGCCCCATGGTAATCCTTGCCTAGCATGACTTGTCCCTCCCACCTGGCATTGGCACTTTCAGCTTGTCTCAGTGCCAGCTGGAGGGTTCCTATTTCACTCTTACTTCTGGCTAGGTATTCTTTCCAAGGAACCAACCACCTTGGGGATAGCTAAGGTGTAAGAAGGCTGCTATTTTGCTTGTTAGGGTGGGCTGAGCAGCAGATTCTCAGTGCCCCAGGCCTCCTGCAGAAACTGCCCTTCTGGGGATGTGAGTGATGTAGGCGGGGTGGAGGGGCAGGATGAGAAGGCTCTCTGGAGGGCTGAATGACGTGGGCCCCCTTCCCTGGCCTTTACCCTTTTCACCAGGCCTCCTGGGTGGGTGTGAGACATGAGGAATTCCAGTCCAGGTGCCCTCGGATGCCTCCGGGAGGGCTCATTCCTGCCTTCAGGGATCAGGCATTGAGTAGGAGAAGGGTGAGGCATATCATGTGGCCTGAAACCACACCCTGAGTTTGGTCCTTGCTGGGCCTGGAGGTGGGTGTAGGGTGTGTTCTTGTCTCAGAGGCAGGGCTGCCAGTCTGGTGTTCGGAGGGAAGCACAGAGAGGCCCAAGAAACAGAGCAGTGCTGAGTGTTCAGTGTCTGAAGACCAAGACCCTGGGTAAGGTGGGTGTCCAGGCTGAGTTGAGGGCATTGTAAGGGGTGAGATTGTTCTCAATTTCATGCTTATTTAAGGATCGAGTTCATCTGAAAACTTCTCACAGCCTTGAAAAGGTTCTGGGCCATAGCATGCTTCTGTTGTAGGGTGGTGGGAAGATAAACTTTGAAATGCCTTGGTCTAGCTTCCCCATCACCACCAGCACCCTAAAGGCCACATGGACTGACACTGAGATGAGTGGGGACTTTGCTACTGTGCCCCCGTGCGCCCACGGTTTCTCGCCCTCCCCCTGTGGGTGGGTGAGTTTCCCCACTGGAGTTCCTTTTTGACGGTCAGGAGACAGTGAGGTAAGATTGGGAAGTCAAGTCTGTGTCATCTGTTGTCATCATTGGCTATTCAGGCATGTGTTTGTGGGGTGGATTCAGAGGTCTTTGGTGCATAGGGAAGTTGGGTAGGGATTCTGGGGCTTTGATTGTTCTCTGGTGACTGGACCTACCCAGCCACATGAAAGACATGGACCTGTACCACTTTCGCAGCCCTGCTCTTGTGAGCTATTGTTTCCTGGGTGCCCTTAAGAATTGAGAAATAAAAGCCTGGCACCGGTGGCTCATGCCTGTAATCCTAGCTACTCAGGAGGCTGAGTTCTGAGGATCACGGTTCAAAGCCAGCTAGGGCAGGAAAGTCTGTGAGATTCTTATCTCTGATTAACCACCAGAAAACCGGAAGTGGGAAGTGGTGTTGTGGTTCAAGTGGTAAAGTGCTCCCCTTGAGCCGAAGAGCTGAGGGACAGAGCCTAAGCCCAGAGTTCAAGCCCCATGACTGACAAAAATAAAAAAGAATTGAGAAACGAGCTGGTTGCTGGTTGGCTCACGCCTATAATCCTAGCTACTCCGGAAGCTGAGATCTGAGTTTCACAGTTCTAAGCCAGACCTGGCAGGAAAGTCTGGGAGTTTCTTATCTCCAATAAACTACTCAGAAAAAGCCAGCGGGCTGGGCGCTGGTGGCTCAGGCCTGTAATCCTAGCTACTCTGGAGGCTGAGATCTGAGGATCGCCATTCAAAGCCAGCCCAGGCAGGAAAGTCCATGAGACTCATCTCCAACAAACCACCAGAAAACCGGAAGTGGCTCTGTGGCTTAAGCGGTAGAGCTAGAGCGCTCACCTTGAGCTGAAGAGCTCAAGGACAGCGCCCAAGCCCAGAGTTAAAGCCCCACAACCGACCAAAAAAAAAAAAAAAAAGCCAGATCGCTATCCTTGAGCACAAAGAAGCTCAGGGACAGTGCCCAGACCCTGAGTTCAAGTCCCAGGACTGGCAAAAAAGAAAAGAAATGGAAATTGAACGGCACTGAATGAGCTAAAAACCAACAGTACATGGGGATTCCCATGCCCACCACTTGCAGATAACCCATCTCAAGTCCTTGCTCCTTGTGGAGAGGTGGGGTAGGTATTGGAGCGGAGGCTTAGTGAATCCCCTTTGTCATGAGTGTCATGAGGAGGGCAGCATGTGGGCTCCTGGGTTGCCAGTTTGTTTGTTTGTTTGTTTTTTGGGTCCATTCGTGGGGCCTGAACTCTGGGCATGGGCGCTGCCCCTCAGTTCTTCAGCTCAAGACTAGCGCTCTACCACTTGAGCCACAGCGCCACTTCCGGCTTTTTTTCTTTTTGATTATGTGGTGCTGGGGAATCGAATGCAGGGCCTCATGCATGCAAGGCAAGCACTCTACCACTGAGCCACCTTCACAGCCCCTGGGTTGCCAGTTTGTGAGAGTCCAGTGATGAAGCTCATGTGTGTCAGGGCAGAGCCCACTCTATTAACTGGTATTGTGTCCAGGAAGGAAGGAAGGGGAGGCTTTGTGCTGAGTTGCTGAGGTGGGAATATCTTGTCAAAAACCTCTCTTTGGGGTTGGATGATTTCATTAGAAATGAAATGGTTTGTTTCATTTGATACTTCTATACAATGAAATATCCAAAGCTTAAGTGCAATGTTAATGACCTTTGGGAGTCCATCTACCTTCATCCAGACTCTGAGCAAGATAGAACTGGCTTTGGTCAAGAAAGTTCCTTCGGTTTAGTGCCAGGCAGTTCACCCCGCAAAACCTGCTCTGATTTAGTTTCTCCCTGAGTGGTAAGTCACTCAGCCAGTGACTGTTTATATGCATTGTGTTCTGTACTTTTTTTTTTTTTTTCCTTTTTAAGGATTCTAAATGTATGTGTTCATTTAAAATGTTGACTTGTGGAAATGAACATGTTATATCGGTACAAAAGTGATAACATTTAGTAGAAATTGTTCAGAATTTGAATTTTGATTCCCACGCTTGATCTGGCTCCCTTCAGACTAGGGCATCTTAATGCTTTGACAGCCCATTATAGTCCCTGGTTCTGCCAGTGTGGGGATATATATCTTTGATTTTTCTGTGAGAGGATGAAGAAGGGAGAGAAAGGAAAGCAGGTGTTTGTTATCTACTGAGAGTCCTGGGAAGGTAGCCCAGTCTTTTTTCTTCCTTTCACTAACTTATGCTTACAGGAGAGCAATCGGATCCTTGTCTTCTGAGGTCAGCTGAGCTGGGGCCAGCTCACAGGGAAAGCTTAGAGCTGAGGCTTCCCTACCTACCTGAATAGGTGTTTCTGGGCCTTATCTCCTGACTCTTCTCTAGGCTTCCTGAAAGTTCTGTCCCACTGCCTTGCATTTCAAGTTCTAGCCTGTGTCCATATTTCGGCCTTCTTTAGGTGGCTCTTGCTATGGCTGACACCCATAGTTATGTTTCTAGGCCCTTGGCAGTACCCCAAGCTGTGGCTTTTCCAAGGCAGAAGCTTGTTGTTTCCAGTGAATGGGTAGGACAGAGATTACTGGCCATTGTCATTTGGATTGGGAAGAAAAGAGCAGTGCTTGCTGTGAACTTTCAGCAGAGGGCTCCAAGCCTCCCTGGCTAGGAGACCTTTAGTTACTCAGCCTAATAGGCTGGTGAAGATTTCAGGTATGGTCAGGCAGTGGGTGCTCCTATAGAGCATTCCTTTCCCTAGGTGCTTAGTGTCCAACACATTGTGTTCTGCCTCCTACTCCCTGCATAGTATCTAGTAACTGGCTTGATCTGGATCAAGAGCAGTAGCTCCTAGTTGCAGGGATGGGAAGATGTTGATGCAGAGGTCACTAAATTAGTATCTGAGGGCTCTGGCTGAGCCCAGGTGGTGGGATGAACCAGGTGAAAAGTAGCTGTGTGCTGTGACTTCCTGTTGGGCCTTCTGTGGTCTTCAGAACCCATCTCATCTCTTAATTCCCTTTCAAGGTTTGACTATGCTCTGTCCTCTTGTCTGGGTGTCTGGGTAATGGGCCTAGGACCAGATCTTATTAATGTAGAGTTTTTTGGCCCTCTGTACGTTTATGACTGATTCGACAGCTCTCTGGGCCCTTGGTGGGAACTTGTGTCCCTCCCTTCAGCTCTCCCCTCCCCCAAAGAGGGGAGCTGTGCTAGGGGCTGAAGAGACAGCTGGCAGCATGAAGCCAGGCCTCCTACCCTTAGGCCGGCACCCCGGGTCTGGCCACATTCCTGAGGGACCTGCTGAGCCTCTCTGGCCCTGGGGGTGGGGTGGGGGGAAGTAGAAGCTGCTGTAGGCCCCTTCCCCCAACTCTGGCTCCATTCCAAGGGAGACCAGGCTAGCCTGTGAAACGTAGGGTCCCAGAGTTTCAGGATTTCCTCCTGCTGGACTCAGCTTTGGGGGGAGAGAGCAGAGAGCCCACCTTCCTCTGGCAGCAGCTGTCAGTGGCTTTCGTGGGTTGGTATTGAAAGACCAAGCCTGCTGCTGGGGTGAGCCCTCAGGCCTCAAAGGGGGAGGTCTTATAGTCCAACTGGGCTGGAGGGGCTGGGCTCTGGGGGGGGGCGGGGGTCGGGGAAGCGGTTGAGACTGGTTCTTATAAATAGCCCTTGCACAAGTGGCTCCAATTTTGACCTTTGTTATGTAAATGTAGCCAGCCTATGAAGGGCCTTGCCCAGGCCTCCTACCACCCCTCAGTTTGTCTGTAATTGTATGCCTGCCACCAGCCTTCCTCGGGCCTAGGTGGCCCCTGGGGTATCCTAAATCTCCAGTGTGTATTGGAGGTTAGTTGCTGCCCAGCTACCCAGACCTGTCTGTGAGCCTCTTTGGGTCTCCCACCCAGAAGACTGTAGATCTTTTGGGGAATAAAATTAGAGCCTCCAGTGCCTCTCCTTCCTGGGCCCTCTCCTTCCTTTGCTGGTACCTGTCTTAGTAGTCTGTCTTCTTCTCCCCAGGTGACCAGGCATTGATGCGCCCCCAGGAAGTCCACGTGCTCAAGGAGGTCACCCCCCGCCGGCTGCTGCTCACATGGTTTCTGGGCCCCTGGCGCTCCGGTAGGCCAAGGGGGAGGCCTGGGGGAGGGAGGCTCTCTGGCTTGCTCGTGCCCCTGGGGCTTTCTGGCAGTTCACAGCCGGAAGGCTAGGCTTCTCCCTGGCCTGTAGTCCTTTGTGCTGACAGTTTAGGACAGCATGCTGGGTGCCTCGGGCCAGCTGCTCTGGCTCTGGCTCACCCAGGACAAGGGGCTGCTGTGAGCATATGGGTTCTTCTGCTCTTTGTTCATTCCTTTGCCAGGCTCAGGGTAGCAGGCATCCTAGGGTAGACAGAGCAGGCCCAGAGCTGACTGGGATACTGCTTTGTTCCCACCTGGCTGGTTGAAGGGACAGGGAGTGGAGGAAGAATGGTTCCCAAAGTCTCCAGCCTCTGAATGCCCTTCTGAATTGCTTCAGCTGGGGCAGAACAAGGAAACAGAGTTTTTTCCATGGTGTTCCACCAGGTGCTTGTCATGAGCTCTGAAACAGTAGTGTGGATGTGATTGTTGGGGTTTCTCTGTCTACAAACAAGGGCAAAGGCAGGTGAGGGGCTGGGGTGAGCATGTGTATTGTGGAAAGAGAGAACATGGTATAGAAGATACCCTGGGAGGGGCAAGAGGTCTGGGTGGTGGTGGGAAGTTAGGAACAGTTGAACTGTTTACAGATTTTCTAACTGGTGAGTGAGGCACATGTGGGCAGGGTGGAGTGGCCTCTGCTACCCATTGCTGACAGCTGTGGGTCAGTAGAGACTATGCCCATTCCCATCATCTCCTGTTCCACAGAGGCTAGTGGGTGTCTGGGCTCAAGAAAGAAGCTAGAAGGATTCCCAGGCTTGAACATAGTGATCTCCTCTACTGTCAGGGATAAGAGGATGGGGCTGGCATTGCCATTCTCTCTCTCTCTCTCTTTTTTTTTGGGTCCAGTCGTGGGGCTTGAACTCTGGGCCTGGGCGCTGTCCCTCAGCTCTTCAGCTCAAGGCTAGCACTCTACCACTTGAGCCACAGTGCCACTTCCGGCTTTTTTCTTTGTGCTTATGTGGTGCTGAGGAATCGAACCCAGGGCCTCATGTATGCAAGGCAAGTGCTCTACCACTGAGCCACCTTCCCAGCCAGGCATTGCCATTATCAAATGGGGAGGTGGGTTGGGACTGAGGTCAGCTTTGAGTAATGTTCTGGGTACCTCTGTCCTAGGAAGGCCATTCATGGGCCTATGGTATACTTCCTCCCTGTGGGGTTCCCTGCTTGGCTGAGGGCAGGTGGGAAGCCTGGTCAGACCCCATGTGCACACTGCACACCGCTGGGTCAGCCGTCTGATGGGTTCCTGTAAAGACCAGAGGCATCTGCATGTTTATTACTTAATGGCCTTAATTAGTGTCTGTGCCAATCTGTCTGGTAGGCCCAGCTGGCTGCCTTTCCAAGCCCAAACAGCAGCAGCCCTTCCTGGAAAGGGCACTATGTCTAGGAAATCCAGGGGCTGGGACAATACCCAATTTTCACTGAGGCCAGGTACATATGTTGGAGATGGGCTTGTAAGGACCAGCAGCCATGAAAGAGACTGCTGTATATGGGAATAGGATCTGGACTCTGGCAAATTGGAAAACCTGGGTTGACTGGGAAGCTTAATTTTGTAAAGTGTTTCAATGTAGAGCAGAGACTAAACCAGAGGCTAGCTGATGAGTTTGATTTAGCTTATACAGTACATTTTACTTACATAATTATTATCGTTTTTGTGCCAGTACTGGGGCTTGAACTTGAACTCAGAGCTCTCCTCCAATTCTTGTTCAGCTTTTAAACTCATGGCTGATGCCCTACGATTTGAGCCATGCCTCCAGTTCAGCTTTTTCCTTGTTAACTGGAAGTAAGAATCTCATGGATGTCTTTCCTAGGCTGGCTTAGAACTTTAATCCTTAGATCCCAGCCTCCTGAGTCAGTAGGGTATGGGTATGAGCCACCACTGCCCAGGTACCTCACAGTCTTATTAGCATCACATTCTAACCAACTGAGCTAACTGGCCACCTTGAATTTTTTTTTTTTTTTGGGTCGGCCGTGGGGCTTGAACTCTGGGCCTGGGCGTTGTCCCTCAGCTCTTCAGCTCAAGGCGAGGGCTCTACCACTTGAGCTACAGTGCCACTTCCGGTTTTCTGGTGCTTTATTGGAGATAGGAGTCTCACGGTCTCTCCTGCCCGGGCTGGCTTTGAACTGAGATCTCAGCCTTTGAACTCAGATCTCAGCCTCCTGAGTAGCTAGGATTACAGGCGTGAGCCACCAGCGCCCGGCCCACCTTGAATATTTTAAAAGGACCCTTTAACATAGGGAAATTATTCATGAAAATCTGATTTGCTGCCTGGTCTGGAAAGCTGGGGAGATCAGCCCTGTGCCTCTGCATACAGGCAGGACTGGTCAGTTTACTCAGGTCTCCTGCTCTCCTAGAGATGTATCTGTTCTCTGAATTCCATTGCCACCTGCTGGCCATTTTTCCCCCTGCTTAGGGGAAGTAAGCCTACCTTCTTTTAGTGTGTAGGCAGTAGCCTGGGGCATAAAGTCAAATTCAAACCCAAGTTTAACTTCCTGGCATCTTCATCATGCTCACCTCAGTTTTCTCATAAGTAGGGGTAGGGTATGGCCTCTCTGTTTTTTCTGACAGCTTGAGTCCTCTCTGAGGTGGCAGTTAGAAGGTGCCTGCACACAGGGAGGTGGGACTGAGTGGGTTTCATCTGCCAGTTCAGTCCAGAGGCCCCCTGTGTGCTCCTGAGAACTGCACTCTGCCCCAGGGCCCTGGTGCAAGTTAATCAGGCTTGTTTTTGCCCACAGGTGGTGCCCGTGGGCAGGGCACAGGGACATGGGGCCCGACATGGAGCTGCCCAGCCACTCAAAGCAGCTCCTGCTACAGCTGAACCAGCAGAGAACCAAGGGTTTCTTGTGTGACGTCATCATCATGGTGGAGAACTCTGTCTTCCGGGCCCACAAAAATGTCCTGGCTGCTAGCAGCATCTACTTCAAGTCCTTGGTCCTGCATGACAACCTCATCAGCCTAGACACGGACATGGTTAGCTCCACGGTGTTCCAGCAGATCCTGGACTTCATTTACACAGGCAAGCTGCTGCCTAGTGACCAGCCAGCCGAGCCCAACTTCAGCACTCTTCTTACTGCCGCCAGCTACCTCCAGCTACCTGAATTGGCAGCCCTCTGCCGTCGCAAACTCAAGCGAGCAGGAAAGCCCTTTGGCCCTGGACGGGTAGGGGCTGCCGGCGTGGGGCGGACGCCCCGCAGCCAGCGACTGTCCACAGCCTCTGTTATCCAGGCTCGATACCCAGGGCTTGTGGATGGACCTAAGGGGCACCATTCCTCCCAAGAACTCCCCCAGCCCAAAGGTTCAGATGATGAGCTTTTTCTGGGTAGCTCTGCCCAGGAGAGCACCCACAGCCTGGGCCGTGGGCTCTGCTCAGCCAGCGGGGAGGTGGGCTTAGGGGGCTGTGGCAGCAGTACTAATGGGAGTAGCGGAGGCTGTGAGCAGGAGCTGGGCCTAGATCTGTCCAAGAAGAGCCCACCCTTGCCCCCCACAACTCCCGGACCCCATCTTACCCCTGATGATCCAGCCCAGTTGAGTGACAGCCAGCACGACTCACCCCCATCAGCCTCTGTCCCACCTGTTGCCAACAGTGCCTCTTATGCTGAGCTGGGGGGCACCCCTGATGAGCCCATGGATCTGGAAAATACTGAGGACAACCACCTGAGCCTACTTGAGGGGCCAGGTGGACAGCCTCGGAAGAGCCTCCGCCATTCATCCCGAAAGAAGGAATGGAGCAAGAAGGAGCCTGTTTCTGGGTCTCCCTTTGAGCGGAGAGAAATAGGACCAAAGGGCCCCTGCCCTGGTGAAGATAGTGAGGGGCTTGGGGACACAGTTCCCAATGGTGTTGTGGCCAGTGGTGTTGGTGGCCCCAGTGGGCCTTATGGGGAGCCCCCGTACCCCTGCAAGGAGGAGGAGGAAAATGGCAAGGAGGGGAGTGAGGACAGTGGGCAGAGTGGGAGTGAGGGGGGCAGTGGCCATGCTGGCGCTCACTACGTGTACCGGCAGGAGGGCTATGAGACAGTGCCATATGGAGACAACCTGTATGTGTGCATTCCCTGCGCCAAGGGCTTTCCTAGCTCTGAGCAGCTCAATGCTCACGTGGAGACGCACACAGAGGAGGAGCTGTTCATCAAGGAGGAGGGAGCCTATGAGACGGGCAGTGGGGGTGCTGAGGAGGAGGCTGAGGATCTGTCAGCGCCCAGCACAGCCTATGCAGCAGAGCCCCGGCCTTTCAAGTGCTCAGTCTGTGAGAAGACCTATAAGGACCCAGCCACCCTGAGGCAGCATGAGAAGACACACTGGCTGACAAGACCCTTCCCTTGCAACATCTGTGGCAAGATGTTCACCCAGCGTGGCACTATGACACGCCACATGCGGAGCCACCTGGGCCTGAAGCCTTTTGCCTGTGATGAGTGTGGCATGCGTTTCACCCGCCAGTACCGCCTCACAGAGCACATGCGTGTGCACTCAGGCGAGAAGCCCTATGAGTGCCAGCTCTGTGGGGGCAAGTTCACCCAGCAACGCAACCTCATCAGCCACCTGCGCATGCACACCTCCCCCTCCTAAAAGCCAAAGACCCAGGGGTGCCCTCTGCAGACCTGCCACCTGGGAACCCAGCAAAGGAGAAGCCAGGAGGTGCAGTAGGAGGGGCTGAGCCTGAGGTCCAGTGGGCAGCTCTCCTGGCAGCCCCTTCACCCCAGCCGCCCCACATCCAGAGCTTTAATCAACAGTCTGTACCAAGGGAAGCCAAGAGGAGAGAAGCCTGCAGGCCCAGCCCCATGTGTGGTGCTGGTGGTGACCATTCTACCTCCCCATCCCACCCCTCACTCCAGCCCTGTGGGGGCTGCCATAGAGCAGGTGGGAATGGGTCACATGGGTCTTGCTGGTCCCTTTCCTTCAGGCTGGGCTGGAGAAGAGGGAGAGGGGACCCCCTACATGCTAGTGAGGCACTGTTTCTTGTGATCACGGGTGGTGCCTGGAGCAGGCCCCTACCCGGCAGGGACTGTGTCTGTGCGTGTGCATGTGTGCTTGTGTCTGTGTGTGACCCTGGCTCTGGGAAGCAGGTGCTTGGGGGCAGCTCCTTCACTCCTTTAGCCAGGGTGGCACTGCTCTCTGGTGCTGGGATAGTCAGGGTGACCCCACCACCCTACCTCTCTACAACTAAAGAGCCCTCTGGGCCTGTTATTCCTACTGATCTCCCTCCACTTTTTTTTTTTTTAATTTTGAATTCTTTTTTTTTTTTAAACCAAAACAAACAATAGTTTATTTTCCTCCTGCCTCTTTGGGGCTGAGCCTAGGTCTGCAGACTGAATGTAACTGGGGCAACTGCCCCTCCCTGTTGCCCCTTCCCTGAGCCCTGGTGCTGTGGGACACATCAGTGTGCCCATCTCCAGGCCCCAGAAGCCCGACTTGCCCAAAGGCTTCCCTGGTCCTGAGCCCTGCCTGGGCTGCCTCAGGAGAACACGTTTTTCCTATAATTTTCAAGGAATATTCTTTGTCTAGAGGTACATGTTTTTTTGTTTTGTTTTGTTTTTTTAAATTGAGAACCCCCTCTCCCATGTAACATTTATGGAAGTGTTGGAACTGGAAGTTTTGGGGGGTGGGGGAGGCTGGACTTGCTGCCAAGGCCGTCGGTACTTGCGTTTTTCATTTCTGTGTATGTGTGGGTGAGCGTGGTTTGCACTGTGCGTGTGGACAGATGCTTTACTTTCCTTCCTCACTAAACAAGGTGGAGAGACTTCTGACCTTTTGCTACCTCTTGAATTCATGACAACAGTATAGTACTTTGGTGACTGGCAGTTGAGGGTGAGCTGGTTGCTCTTTTTTTCTTCTGTGGGAATTAAGATGGGCTCAGGTCAGCCTCATAAGCCATCTTGGTCCCCAGAGACCTGGGCCCCCCAAGTTGTCAACTGCTACTGTGCTTGAGTGTGGGGCAAGGGTTGGGCACCTAAGTAACAGGAGCCACAAGGAGACAGCTGCTCTTATCATCTCCTGCCAGGGCCAGGATAAGGTGGAAGTGAGCCCCCCCATCCTGTCTCTACGTGGAGTTGGAGAGAGCCAAAGCCCCTCCTGGCTCATGTGGTGAGGGCAGCAGCCAGCCACAGGACCAGGGAATGGAATAGCACCTTTGAGCACTCCTGGCCACTCTAGTGAGAGTTGGTCACACCCACAGGCTCAGCCTTGTCTGGGTCCAATGAGTTGCCCCATGTCATGGGTTTCTCAGATACTTGCATGGGTCCTAGTCAGGCTTTACGCCAGACCAAGGTTGCCATGCTTGGTTCCATTGCCCTTAGCCAGCTGAGCCACAGGACTGGGCCAGCAGGCTTTATCTTCATTTTGCTTCCTACTTTTTTCGTTTTCTTCATTCAGTTTTAAGTTCAGACCAAAAAATTCCTGTCATCCCCTATCCCACCCCTTCAGAGACCCTCTAAGTAAAAACAGAGCCAAGTTCAGGGACTTGGGTGGTGAGTGGTATATTCTGGGAATGAGGGAGTAAAGTCACAAGAGGAGCTCTTGGCTAGCCCTCCCATGTGGTACTTATAAGCCCTGAGCTGGCTCTCCTCCCTGTCAGATAGGAGATGGAGGTCTGGACCCCTGATCTCAGTTCCAGTAAATCAGGTTAAACAGCTGAGCTAAGGAAACTCCTGGGCTCCACCCCCACCCTATCAGCACTTAAAGCCACATGACACAAAGTCTGTACCGCAGTACCATACAGGAATTGTGCATGCACCCGGTGGCACATGTGGCCTCCACCGCCATGGGCAGCTGCATTTGTGAGGTGACTGGAAAGTAGGTGATTGCTCTATCTACAAAACTTCAGGGACTGGGAGCAGAGCCCCCTCACTCAGTGTCTGTGCGACATAGTATTGTACCCACCTTAGTATTGTATCAAGCTTTTTCTGTATTTTAATGAGAAAGCAAAACACTAGTTTCCTATTTAAGATGTTAAGGGTGATTGGGGTGGGGTGGGATCATCTCCACAATTGGTTTTGTTTCCTTTTCCTTTGATTCCATGGCAGTGTGTGAGAGAGAGTGTGAGTGGTGTGTGTGTGTGTGTGTGTGTGTGTGTGTAAGTAAGTAAATGTTAAGAGCCTCACAAGGAAACTAGGCTGTGAGGGGCAAAGGCGGCTTACAGTTCTCTACTTTAGTCACTTAATTCCTGAATGTTTCGGAGAAACAGGAAACAGAAAATAGCAGATGTCACTTAAGAATAATGATTTAAAAAAGAAAAAAAAAAAGAAAAAAAAGCTCATACCCAAATTCACAAAACCTATTTTTTAAACCAAAATGTATTTTGAATGAGTATGGAACCTCAGTGGGCTCAGAAAAAAAAAAAGATACTAATATATTTATCTCATTGTTTACATAAACTTTTACAGTTTCAGACCTCAGCAGCTGTAAGGCCAGTCCCAGGGAATCTTCACCTTCTGCTGGGGGTCCTGAGTCGGCCCTGGAGCATGGGCAGACATAGGGCCAGGGAAGGAAGGGGTGGAAGCCTCCCTGGACTCACCAGAGCCCTCACCCCCATTCCCAGGGCCTCTCCAAGCCCAGCTGGCACCAAAGAGCTTGGGCCTGTGCTGACCAGCCTCAGGCCTGCTGGCTGGACCTTAGTGGTCTTGCTAGCTGGTACACATTGGGTGGCTGTCAGCTCTGGCCACAGGACCCGAGTCTGGGCTTCGGCCCCAAGGGAAAGGCGAGCTCCCTCTGCTGCTCTGCTCGTGACCCTTGGGGGGGTGGGTTGATGTGAGGGTCTCCCTGAAGCCAAAAAGTGGGGACTTTTGCACAGCTCAGTTGACTCCAGTGGGTCCGTCCCCCTCCTACCCCCTCAGCCAATGAAGGGCTGAAGGGACCTGGTCCTTACCAACACAGACGGTGCAAACACTCTCAACAGTGTTGTTTTTGTATCAATATGTTTGTGCAGTGATGAATGTATTTATTTCTCAGACTTGGGACAAGCAGGCCGTGGCAGGCTGGGCTCTGCCACGGCCTGCTCCTGCAGGACCGAGCCACTGCAAGGGCTCCTCCAGGATTGCAAAAAAAAAAAAAGAAAAAAGAAAAAAAAAAAGATGAACCTTTAAGCAAATGAGAATCTCAGAGACTTGCAGCATAGCCATACACCTCAGCCTGTGAACTGAACAATCTAGACCCAAACTGACTCTCCCGACCACATACAGCCTGGGTGAGTTTCTGGTCCGTCACTACTTGGGAGCACTGGGCTATCTGCCCGCTGTCCTCATGCTGATGGTTTTCACTGGACCTCAGGCCCCTGTGCAGGAGTGCGATCAGGCGAGACTGCTGGCAGGCACTGCCCTGCAGCTCTCCTGAGTGTGGGGGAGGCCTGGGCAGCCCCGAGGGCAGAGCTGAGAGCAAGCCTGTGTCTCACCTCCAGGCCTGAGTTGTAGAAACTCATGCTGGATGGAGAGGAGCAGATAGGGCACTTAGCATTGCCATGCCCCTCTGAAGGGACCAAGGTCCTCCGTTTCCCCAGTCACATTGGGCTCCATATTAACTGAACCTGTGAAGTGGATGCCAGGAATGAGGAAATGGCAAAGGACCTGACCAGAGCCTCAGTCTGACATTCCAAATGGGATGGGTGGGAGCTGTGGGAATTGAGGCTGCCCAGGACCCCCTTCCTAGGATGCCCCAGCTTCAGTTGCCCACTTTAATTTTCTACAGGAACCCCTCCCCCTACCTCACCTTACTATTTATTGCTGTAATTTATTGACCTCAAAAATGCTGCATAACAGACCTCAGATGGGACAGGGAGGGTCCCCAGGGTCCCCCCCTCTACTTGGCAGGATCCTGTGGGGCCAGGTGCTGAGGGGAACCTCTCTGCCCCACCCATCACTTGCTTCCCCCTGCACCCCCAGGGGCCCTAGGTTGGGCTCTGGCCATTCTCAAATACCTCGAGGGGGAGTGGAAGGGATTGGGTTATAGCTGTTTTGTTTAATGGGAATTGGAAGAGGGATCATGTCCTACTTTATACCCTTCCCAAAGAGGGGGAGGGACACCAGGATCGCACTCCTGTACTGGCCACCGCCGTTGTCACTCATCACATTGAGTTCACATCCCTCAAGAGTTAGGATAAATTCAGGTCGGAGCTGCAGGTATGCAGCCCTCCAGTGTCATAGAAAAGTGATTGACCGACGACTGATCTCCATTCAGAAGTGTGCAGTCTTAATGTACAGTGATAAGAAACTGTTATTTTATGATCTTTTCATTAAAAGCTTGATGGAAAAATTTTCTGGCATAGGGCCTCTGTTTTGCTGTGGCTGTTTCCCTGGCAGACTGACAGTTTGATGTCTCAGGTGGGATCTGGTTTGGGCATCTGTCCACCACTTTTTAGCTGGGGCAGGAGACATGCTTCGATGTTGGGGGTGGGGGTGGGGGTCTAGGCCAGGAAACTAGCTTTTTTTTTTTTTTCTTCCACACTAGAACTCTGGGTTGGGACACTGTCTCTTAGTTTTTTTGTTTTTGTTTTTTTTTTTCACTCAAGGTAGTGCTCTGTCAGCTGAACTACAGCTCCACTTTGGTTTTGGGGTGTTAACTTAGAAATAAAAATTTCATTGATTTACCTTCCCTGGGCTTCCTTGGAACCTCAGATCTCAAGCCTTCTGAGTAGCCAGGATTGCAGGTGTGAGCCACCAGTGCCTGCTAGCCCTCGTCAGTACCATCATAGGCAATCCTAGTCTTGGTTGGCCGAGAGTTTCAGGAAGCAGCAGATCATGGGAGATCTGAGTGCAGACCTGGTGACTAGGCTGAGGAGGCCTAACCAGTGTCCAGCACTCATGCTGTAGCAACAAGATTGGGCTGAGGTAGATGAGCTAGAGGAGGTGTTTCCTTTGCTCGATTTGACCTGAGGGTAAAAGAGGGATGATTG